AGGAAAGAAGGAAGGAAGGAAGGAAATAAAAAAAGAAAAGAACGAAATGATGGAATGAAACGCGGGAAGACTATAAGAAAGTCAATAAAGTAAAGAAAAAAAAAAAAAGTAACGAAGGAAATAGGAAAGAAAGGAAGAAGAAAAAAGGGAGAAGGAAACGATGTTAGGGAACAAGTCAAGGTAGGAAAATAGATAAAAATGAAGGAAGAAAAGAAGGAAGTATGCAAAAGAAAAAAGGAAAATAAGAAAATAAGAAGAAAGAAAAGAACGAAAGGAAGAAATAAAAAAAAAAGTAAGAATAGATATGAAGATAAAATTGATAGAAACAGGTGACGAAGGAAAAATAAAACAAGATAAATAAGGAAGGAGAGAAAAGAGTATGAAAAAAAGGAAGAATAAAGAAAAAAAGGAAGGAAATATGTAAAGAAGACGGTGAAAGAAAGAACAAAAGAAAGAAGGGGGAAGTCGGAAAAGAGGAAAATTTATCATCGGTGCCAAACGCAAAGAAAGAAAGAAAGAAAGAAAGAAAGAAAGAAAGAAAGGGGGTTGGAATTCTAAAAGAAAGAAAAGAAGAAAGAGTGAATTTCCACAAAGGAAAGAAGGGGAAATTTAGAAAGAAAGAAAGAAAGAAAGAAAGAAAGAAAGAAGGTCATTTTGAATGAAAGACTGGGGGACATTTGGAAGAAGAAAAGAAAAAGAAAGAAAAAAAGAAAGAAAAAGGAAAGAAAGGGGATGAAATTTAAATCAAAGAAGGAAAAAGAAAAAAGAAAGAAATGCAAAAATGAAGGAAGGTAGAAAGGAATGGAGAGGGAAATTTAGAAAAAGAAAGAAAGAAATGTAGTGAAAGAAAAGAAAGAAAGAAAAGAAAAGAAACGAAGAAAGGGGATGGAAATTCTTAAATCAAAGAAGGAAAAAATCTAAAAAAAAAGAAAGGGGAATGCAAAATGAAGGAAGGTAGAAAGGAATGGGAGGGAAATTTAGAAAGAAAGAAAGAAATGTAGTGAAAGAAAGGAAAGAAAGAAAGAAAGAAAGAAAGAAAGAAAGAAAGAAAGAAAAAAAGGAAATGAAAAAAGGGGATGGAAATTCTTAAATCAAAGAAGGAAAAAGTCTTGCTAAAAAGAAAAGGCGGGAATGCAAAATGAAGGAAGGTAGAAAGGAATGGAGAGGGAAATTTAGAAAGAAAGAAAGAAATGTAGTGAAAGAAAGAAAGAAAGAAAGAAAGAAAGAAAGAAAGAAAGAAAGAAAGAAAGAAAAAGGAAACGAAGAAAGGGGATGGAAATTCTTAAATCAAAGAAGGAAAAGTCTTGCTAAAAAATCAAAGAAATGCAAAATGAAGGAAGGTAGAAAGGAATGGAGAGGGAAATTTAAAAAAAAGAAAGAAATGTAGTGAAAGAAAAGAAAGAAAGAAAGAAAGAAAGAAAGAAAGAAAGAAAGAAAAAAGAAAGAAAGGGGATGGAAATTCTTAAATCAAAGAAGGAAAAAGTCTTGCTAAAAAGAAAGGCGGGAATGCAAAAATGAAGGAAGGTAGAAAGGAATGGAGAGGGAAATTTAGAAAGAAAGAAAGAAATGTAGTGAAAGAAAGAAAGAAAGAAAGAAAGAAAGAAAGAAAGAAAGAAAAAGGAAACGAAGAAAGGGGATGGAAATTCTTAAATCAAAGAAGGAAAAAGTCTTGCTAAAAAGAAAGGCAGGAATGCAAAAATGAAGGAAGGTAGAAAGGAATGGAGAGGGAAATTTAGAAAGAAAGAAAGAAATGTAGTGAAAGAAATAAAGAAAGAAAGAAAGAAAGAAAGAAAGAAAAAGGAAACGAAGAAAGGGGATGGAAATTCTTAAATCAAAGAAGGAAAAAAGGCTTAAAAAAAAGAAAGGCAGAATGCAAAAATGAAGGAAGGTAAAGAAAGGAATGGAGAGAAATTTAGAAAGAAAAAAAAAATGAAAGAAAAGAAAGAAAAAAAAGAAAAGAAAGAAAAGGAAACGAAGAAAATGGAAATTCAAAATCAAAGAAGGAAAAGTCTTGCAAAAAAAGAAAGGCGGGAATGCAAAATGAAGGAAGGTAGAAAGGAATGGAGAGGGAAATTTAGAAAGAAAGAAAGAAATGTAGTGAAAGAAAGAAAGAAAGAAAGAAAGAAAGAAAGAAAGAAAGAAAAAGGAAAGAAGAAAGGGATGGAAATTCTTAAATCAAAGAAGGAAAAAATTTGCTAAAAAGAAAGGCGGAATGCAAAAAATGAAGGAAGGTAGAAAGGAATGGAGAGGGAAATTTAGAAAAAAGAAAGAAAGAAAGAAATGTAGGAAAGAAAGAAAGAAAGAAAAGAAAGAAAGAAAGAAAGAAAGAAAAAGGAAACGAAGAAAAGGGATGGAAATTCTTAAATCAAAGAAGGAAAAAAAGTCTTGCTAAAAGAAAGGCAGGAATGCAAAAATGAAGGAAAGTAGAAAGGAAAGAGAGAATGGAAAGAAGAAAGAAAGAAAAATGTAGTGAAAGAAATAAAGAAAAGAAAGAAAGAAAGAAAGAAAGAAAAGAAAAAAAGAAAATTTAGAAGAAAGGGATGGAAATTCTTAAATCAAAAAGGAAAAGGCTTACTAAAAAGAAAGGCAGGAATGAAAATGAAGGAAGGTAGAAAGGAATGGAGAAAATTTAGAAAGAAAGAAAAAATGTAGTGAAAGAAAGAAAAAGAAAGAAAGAAAGAGAAAGGAAAAGAAGAAAGGGGATGGAAATTCTTAAATCAAAGAAGGAAAAGTCTTGCTAAAAAAGAAAGGCGGGAATGCAAAAATGAAGGAAGGTAGAAAGGAAATGAGAGGGAAATTTAGAAAGAAAGAAAAAAGAAAAAGAAAAAAGAAAGAAAGAAAGAAAGAAAGAAAGAAAGAAAGAAAGAAAGAAAGAAAAAGGAAACGAAGAAAGGGGATGGAAATTCTTAAATCAAAGAAGGAAAAAGTCTTGCTAAAAAGAAAGGCGGGAATGCAAAAATGAAGGAAGGTAGAAAGGAATGGAGAGGGAAATTTAGAAAGAAAGAAAGAAATGTAGTGAAAGAAAGAAAGAAAGAAAGAAAGAAAGAAAGAAAAAAAAAAGGAAATGAAGAAAGGGATGGAAATTCTAAAAAAAAAAGGCAAAATGCAAAATGAAGGAAGGTAGAAAGGAATGGAAGGAAATTTAGAAAGAAAGAAAGAAATGGAAAAGAAATAAAGAAAGAAAGAAAGAAAAGAAAAAAAAGGAAACGAAGAAAGGGGATGGAAATTCTTAAATCAAAGAAAAAAAGGCTTAAAAAAAAGAAGAATGCAAAAAATGAAGGAAGGTAGAAAGGAATGGAGGGAAATTTAGAAAGAAAGAAAGAAATGTAGTGAAAGAAAGAAAAAAGAAAAGAAAGAAAGAAAGAAAGAAAGAAAGAAAAAGGAAAACGAAGAAAGGGGGATGGAAATTCTTAAATCAAAGAAGGAAAAAAGTCTTGCAAAAAGAAAGGGGAATGCAAAATGAAGGAAGGTAGAAAGGAAATGGAGAAAATTTAAAGAAAGAAAGAAATGTAGTGAAAGAAAGAAAGAAAGAAAGAAAGAGAAAGGAAACGAAGAAAGGGGATGGAAATTCTTAAATCAAAGAAGGAAAAAGTCTTGCTAAAAAGAAAGGCGGGAATGCAAAAATGAAGGAAGGTAGAAAGGAATGGAGAGTGAAATTTAGAAAGAAAGAAAGAAATGTAGGAAAGAAAGAAAAGAAAAAGAAAGAAAGAAAGAAAGAAAGAAAGAAAAGGAAACGAAGAAAGGGGATGGAAATTCTAAATCAAAGAAGGAAAAGTCTTGCTAAAAGAAAGGCGGGAATGCAAAAATGAAGGAAGGTAAAAGGAATGGAGAGGGAATTTAGAAAAAAAGAAAAGAAATGTAGTGAAAGAAAAAAGAAAGAGAAAGAAAGAAAGAAAAGAAAGAAAGAAAGAAAAAAGGAAACGAAAAGGGGATGGAAATTCTTAAATCAAAGAAGGAAAAATCTTGAAAAAAAGAAAGGCAAGAATGCAAAATGAAGGAAGGTAGAAAGGAAATGGAGAGGGAAATTTAGAAAAGAAAGAAAGAAATAGAAAAAAGAAAGAAAGAAAGAAAGAGAAAAGAAACGAAGAAAGGGGATGGAAATTCTTAAATCAAAGAAGGAAAAAGTCTTGCTAAAAAAAAGAGCGGGAAAAAAATGAAGGAAGGTAAAAGGAATGGAGAGGGAAATGAAAGAAAGAAAGAAATCCACAAAAAGAAAGAAAGAAAGAAAAGAAAAAGGAAATGGAAATTCTTAAATCAAAGAAGGAAAAAGTCTTGCTAAAAAAGAAAGGCGGGAATGCAAAAATGAAGAAGGTAGAAAGGAATGGAGAGGGAAATTTAGAAAAGAAAGAAAAGAAAAATGGAAAAGTCTAAAAAGAAAGAAAGAAAGAAAGAAAGAAAAGAAAAAGGAAACGAAAGAAAGGATGGAAATTCTTAAATCAAAGAAGGAAAAAGTCTTGCTAAAAAGAAAGGCAGGAAAATGCAAAATGAAGGAAGGTAGAAAGGAATGGAAAAATTTAGAAAGAAAGAAAGAAATGAAAAAGAAAGAAGAAAGAAAGAAAGAGAAAACGAACGAAGAAAGGGGATGGAAATTCTTAAATCAAAGAAGGAAAAAGAAAAGAAAGAAAGGGAATGCAAAAAATGAAGGAAGGAAAAGGAAATGGAGGAAATTTAGAAAGAAAGAAAGAATGAAAGAAAGAAAAAGAAAGAAAAAGAAAGAAAAAAGAAAAAAAAAGAAACGAAGAAAGGGATGGAAATTCTTAAATCAAAGAAGGAAAAAAGTCTTGCTAAAAAAGAAAGGCGGGAATGCAAAATGAAGGAAGGTAGAAAGGAATGGAGAGGAAATTTAGAAAGAAAAAGAAAAATGTTAAAAAAAGAAAAGAAAGAAAGAAAGAAAAAAAAAGAAAAAAAAGGAAACGAAGAAAGGGGATGAAATTCTTAAAAAAGAAGGAAAAAAGTCTTGCTAAAAATTAAGGCGGGAATGCAAAATGAAGGAAGGTAGAAAGGAATGGGGGAAATTTAGAAAAGAAAAGAAAGAAAATGTAAAAGAAAGAAAGAAAGAAAGAAAGAAAAAAAAGAAAGAAAAAAAGGAAACGAAGAAAGGGGATGGAAATTCTTAAATCAAAAGAAGGAAAAAGTCTTGCTAAAAGAAAGGCGGGGCAATGCAAAAATGAAGGAAGGCGGAAATGGAAGTAAAATTTAGAAAGAAAGAAAGAAATGTAGGAAAGAAAGAAAGAAAGAAAGAAAGAAAAGAAAGAAAGAAAAAAAAAAGGAAACGAAGAAAAGGTCCAAATTTTAAATCAAAAAGGAAAAGTCTTGCTAAAAAGAAAGGCGGGAATGCAAAAATGAAGGAAGGTAAAAGGAAATGGAGGAAATTTAGAAAGAAAGAAAGAAATGGAAAGAAAGAAAGAAAGAAAGAAAGAAAAGAAAGAAAGAAAGAAAATAAACGAAGAAAGGGGATGGAAATTCTTAAATCAAAGAAGGAAAAAAGTCTTGCTACAAAAGAAAACAAAAATGAAGGAAGGTAAAAAAGAGTGAAATTTAGAAAGAAAGAAAGAAATGTAGTAAGAAAGAAAGAAAGAAAAAAAGAAAGAAAGAAAGAAAAGAAAGAAAAAGAAACGAAGAAAGGGATGGAAATTTTAAATCAAAAAGGAAAAATGTCTTGTTAAAAAGAAAGACAAAATGAAGGAAGGTGAAAAGGAATGGAGAAATTTTGAAAGAAAGAAAGAAAGAAAGAAAGAAAAGAAAGAAAAAAAGGAAACGAAGAAAGGGGGATGGAAATTCTAAATCAAAGAAGGAAAAGTCTTGCTAAAAAAAGAAAGGGAATGCAAAAAATGAAGGAAGGTAAAAGGAATGGAGTGAAATTTAGAAAAGAAAGAAAGAAATGTAGTGAAAGAAAGAAAGAAAGAAAGAAAGAAAGAAAGAAAAAGAAAGAAAGAAACGAAGAAAGGGGATGGAAATTTTAAATCAAAGAAGGAAAAGTCTTTAAAAAAAGAAAGGCGGGAATGCAAAAAATGAAGGAAGGTGAAAGGAATGAGAGAAAAAAAAGAAAGAAAGAAATGTAAGAAAAGAAAAAAGAAAGAAAAAAGAAAGAAAGAAAGAAAGAAAAGGAAACGAAGAAAGGGGATGAAATTTAAATCAAAAGAAAAAAAAGTCTTAAAAAGAAAGGCGGAAAATGCAAAAATGAAGGAAGGTAGAAAAGGAATGGAAAAAATTTAGAAAGAAAGAAAGAAATGAGTGAAAAAAAGAAAAAAAAAGAAAGAAAGAAAAAAAACGAAGAAAGGGGATGGAAATTTAAATCAAAGAAGGAAAAAGTCTGGAAAAGGGGGAAATGAAAAAATGAAAAAGTAGAAAGGGAAATGGAGAGAAAATTTAGAAAAGAAAGAAAGAAATGTAGTGAAAGAAAGAAAGAAAGAAAGAAAAAAGAAGAAAGAAAGAAAAAAAAAAAAGAAAAAAAAAAAAAGGATGGAAATTTGAAGGAAAAGTCTTGCTAAAAAGAAAAAGGGAATGCAAAAAATGAAGGAAGGTAAAAGGAATAAAGTGAAATTTAGAAAGAAAGAAAAAATGTAGTGAAAGAAAGAAAGAAAGAAAGAAAAGAAAGGAAACGAAGAAAGGGATGAAATTCTTAAATCAAAGAAGGAAAAGTCTTGCTAAAAAAAAGGCGGGATTAAAAATGAAGGAAGGTAGAAAGGAATGGAGATGAATTTAGAAAGAAAGAAAAGAAATGTAAAAGAAAGAAAGAAAGAAAAAAGAAAAGGAAAAAAGAAAGGGGATGGAAAGAAATCAAAGAAGGAAAAGTCTTGCTAAAAAGAAAGGCAAACAAAAAATGAAGGAAGGTAGAAAGGAATGGAGAGAAAATTTAGAAAGAAAGAAAGAAAAAGTAGAAAGAAAGAAAAAAAGAAAGAAAGAAAGGAAACAAAAAGAAACAAAGAAAGGGAAAAAAGCCTTGCTAAAAAGAAAGGGGGAATGCAAAAAAATGAAGGAAGGAAAAGGAATGGAGAGGAAATTTAGAAAGAAAGAAAAAGAAAAGAAATGTAGTGAAAAGAAAGAAAGAAAAGAAAGAAAGAAAAAAAAGAAAGAGAAAGGAAACGAAGAAAAAAAAATTTTAAATCAAAGAAGGAAAAAAGTCCAATGAAAACTAAAAAGAAAGGCAAATGAAAAATCATGAAGGAAGGTAAAAAGGAATAAAATCAAAATGGAAAGAAAGAAAGAAAAAAAGAAGAAAGAAATGTAGTGAAAGAAAGAAAGAAAGCAGTGGATGGATGGATGGAATGGAGGACAATGAGGCAAACAAAGACCAATGAAAACACTTAAAAAAATAGGCTAATTCCAATGAAATCGCATGATAAATCATTTCCGACAATGTCATAGATTTTTGTTATGTTATCCACTTTTTCAGCAAATCATTTGCAATGCATTTGTATGGATGGCAATTCTAGTATAATAAAGTTTGAAAGAAGGAACAAAACGAAATCCACGGAAAAAAAAGAAAGAAAAAAATTGATGGAGCGGAAAGGAAGAATGATGTTTAAACTAATAATTCAAAGGAAGAAAGAAAAAGAATGAATGAAATCAGGATAAGGAAAAGAAATGAAAGAAAAAAGGAAGATGTTACAATTAAAGAAAGAAAGAAAGAAAGAAAGAAAGAAAGAAAGAAAGAAAGCGGCAAGTGAAGGTAGGGAGTAAAAAATAAAAAAATAAAGAAAGAAATGAAGGGGAGAAAAGGGGAATAGAAGGTAAAATTTAAACCGAAAGAAAAAAAAAAAGAATTAAATTAGGCAGTAAAAAGCCAGATGATACAAACAGGATGAAGGAATAACGTTAAAATTAAAGAAAGAAAGAAAGAAAGAAAGAAAGAAAGAAAGAAAAAAACGAATGGAAAAATGGGACAGAAGTAAGAATTTAAACCGAAAGAAAGAAAGAAATAACGGCCGTAGAAAAAGAAGGGAATTAAAATGGGACGAAAGAATGATGTTAAAATTAGAGCACTCAAGAAAGAAAGCAAGAAATAAACAAAGTAACCAAGGGAGGAAGAAAGAAAGAAACAAATGGGGAAGGTAGGGAGTAAAGAAAGAAAAAAGAAGGAAGTAATAAAGAAATGAAGGAGTGGGAAAAGAAGAGAAAAATGGGAAAAGGGACAGAAGAAGGAAAGAAAGACGAAATAAAAAAAAGAGAGATTGAAAGAAATCAGGTAGCTGGAAAAGAAAGGATGAAAAGCGTGTACGAAAAAGATGTTACAAAGAAAGAAAGAAAGAAAGAAAGAAAGAAAGAAAGCAACAAGTGAAGTTAGGGAGTAAAGAAAGAAAGAATAAAGAAAGAAACGAAGGGGAAAAAGGGACCAGAAGTAAAAATTTAAACCGAAAGAAAAAAAAAAAAGAAAAAAGAATTAAATTAGGCAGTAAAAAAAAGAAGGGGATACAAACAGGATGAAGGAATAACGTTAAAATTAAAGAAAGAAACAAACAAACAAACAAACGAACAAACAAAAATTAAAGAAAGAAAGGAAGAAAGAAAGAAAAACAAACAAAAATTAAAGAGAGAAAGAAAGAAAGAAACAAACAAACAAGAGGGAGGAAGAAAGAAAGAAAGAAAGCAACTGGGGAAGGTAGGGAGTAAAGAAAGAAAGAAAAAGAAATAAAGAAATGAAGCAGTGGGAAAAGAAGAGAAAAATGGGATAGAAGAATGAATTTAAAATGAAAGGCAGAAGAAAGAAGATATTGCAATTAAAGAAAGAAAGCCAGAAAGAAAGAAAGAAAAGAAAGAAAGAAAGAAAGAAGCCGGGGAAGGTAAGCAGTAAATAAAGAAAAAAGAAAGAAAAATCTAATGTGGTAGTCGGAAACGTAGGAAGAAATGGGACAGAAGTAAGAATTTAAAACGAAAGAAAGAAGAAAGAAATAAAGAAAGATTGAATGAACAAAATTAAGCAGTAGAAAAAGAAGAGAATAAAAACAGGATTAAAGAAAGAAAGAAAGAAAGAAAGAAAGAAAGGAATCAGGCAAGGTAAGATGTAAAGAAAGAAAATAGAAAGAAGCGAAGAAAGAAATAAGGCAGTTAGAAAAGGAGGGAAAAACGGGATGGAAGTAAGAATTTAAAACGAAAGAAAAAAGAAAGAAAGAAGGAAGAAAGATTGAAAGAACGAATTTAGGTAGTGGAAAAAGAAGAGAATAAAAACGGGACGAAAGAAAGACGTTAAAATATAAGAAAGAACGAAAGAATGAAAGAAAGAAATGAAGGAAGGAAGGAAGAAAGAATGAATGAAAGAAAACAAGCAGGGAAAGTAGGGAGTAAAGAAAGAAAGAAAGAAAGAAAGAAAGAAAGAAAGAAAGAAAGAAAGAAGTGGGAAATGAAGGAAAAAATGGGGTAGAAGTAAGAATTTAAAACGAAAGAAAGAAAGAAAGAAAGAAAGAAAGAACGAACGAACGAACAAACGAAAGTAGGTATTAGAATTAGAAGGGAATAAAAAAGAAAGACGTTAAAATGAAAGAATGAAAGAAAGAAAGAAAGAACCAAGGAAACTAGGGAGTAAAGAAAGAAAAAAGAAAGATTGAAAATACGAAATTAGGCAGTGGAAAAAGAAAGGAGTAAAAACGGGACGAAAAAAAAGACGTTAAAATGAAAGCATGAAAATGAAAATGAAAGAAAGAAAGAAAAAAAAGAATGAAAAAAGAAAGAAAGAAATCAGGTAGTTGGAAAAGGAGGGATGGAAAATAGGAAGGAAGAATAACAGGAAAGAAGAAAGTTGTTAAAAACGATCAATATTTGATAGACAGAATTAAGGAAATATCAGACAAACGGAAAAAGGTAAGAAGAAAAAAGAATAAAAAGCAGGAAAATAAAAAGAATGAAAAGCAGGAAGAAAAGAATGGAAAACAGGAAAAACAAAAGAATGAAAAGCAGGAAGAAAAATAAAACAAACAAAGAAAGATATCCAACGTAATAAATATTTATGGGAAAGAAAATAATGAAAGAAGAAAATTTGAAGAGAAAATTTCGACAACCGTTTCTTTGAAAGATTTTGCCACAGAGAATAACTCTCAAGGCATCGTCGTAAATCACTTGATAAGTTTTGCTTGGGTAATCATTTTCTATACACGTTTGCATTAAAATATTGTGTTGCATTTTCATTGTAATAGTTGGATCCTGTCAAGGCTGACAATAGTGATTGCAGCATTTTTTTCTCCTACCTGAGAGAAAGAGAGAGAGAGAGAGAGAATTTCCCCAAATTCTCATTCATCCTAAAGAATGCACTTCAATGATGAAAATTAAAAGGTGTTGCAATAACTTGGACCGATTTTAAATGTGAATTAAGTTTAAGCGTCTAATTATTTTTTTTCTTTTCCTTTCAGATTTGGCGGACATTTGAGCGATATTATTTTTCACACATAATTGCCATGACTTAAATAACATGATCCAATAGAGAAATAAATAAATTTACACCAATAACACTGATTTATTTATTACTGATCCGTCTTAATGAAACACCCTTATATATAATCCATCTTAATGGAACACCCTTTATTACAGTCGGTTGATACATAAAAAAAACGTGGTTGCTGCGAGGTTTTGTCGGGAGGAAATGCAACCAAAAAGTCACAAATATGATATTTGCCATTGGAAAATACGTTAGAATAATCCTGAACTTATACTGGGAGAGAACCGCCTGCGTGTGGATAGAAAATAATTGAACAGTTAGACAAAATTAGAAAGGGGTGCGAGATAAGGATGTGTCTTCTCTTCAGATATATTCAACTTCTACAGTGAAGCTATACTGAGGGAGATGGAGACCCTAGTAGGATCTGGCACGAAAAGAAAATATCACGAACTCCTGGGTAGGATAGTAAAGTAAAACGAGTGAAAAAAATGAATAATCATCAACTACAAGAAGACAGAATGTATGGTCATCAGCAAGAGGAGAATCCAAAGATGTGAGTTACAAATTGGAGAGATCAACATAAAGCGGGTGCAGGGGTTTCAATAACTGGGAGGTGTTTTAACAGAGGACAGAAAATATGACACCGTAATCCGAACAGGTATTGAACTAGCGAAACTGGTATTTCACAAAGGTAAACAAAGTGCGGAGAAAGAGAAAGAAATTCGTTAGTGTTATGGGACCTTACCCATAATAACATAATGGACTATTCCATACGTGATAAATACTGCTCCGCAGAGAGTTCAGCCTGAAGTCGGGTGACCTGTTGATTGGTTGAACTCTCTGACTTTGGGCGGGGAGGAACCCGAACGAGGCTACACCGAACGGCGGAGTCTCTTTCGGGGAGATAAACCGACCCTGAACCCGTTTATACGGATTCAAAGGGCATATTTTGGGCCGAGCCCATGGGCTCGGATATCCCACATAAACGGGCTTTGTGCCACATGATGCCCTCGTTTGGGGGGGGGGTGACTAAATACCGTTTAGCCTGAAGTCGGGTGACCGGCTGATTGGTTGAGCTCTCTGCCTTCGGGTGGGGAGGAACCCGAAGGAGGCTACGCCGAAGTGCGGAGTCTCTTTCGGGGAGGTAAACCGACCCTGAACCCGTTTATACGGTTCCAAAGGGCATATTTTTGGCCGAGCCCACGGGCTCGGAGATCCCACGTTAAACCAGCCTTGTGTCACATGATGCCCTCGTGGAGTGGGGGTGACTAAATACTGTTCAGTCTGAAGTCTGGAGTGAGGTCCGTCAGGAGTCTGTCAGTCAGTCAGTCAGAGCGAGTCAGTCAGTCGAGTCAGAGGCAGTCCGAAACAGTCGCGTTCAGACAATTACTACTAAACCTGATTGTTTGTACTAACACTTTCTACTTCTCTGTATATATTCCTGTTTGTAATATATCTGTGTTATTCCATATCCGCCTTCGAGTTCTTCTTTATTGGTTCTACCTTGGACTATCACCCGGGGTACAAGGAACCGGACCATGACAGTTAACAACAGAGAAAAGAGTGCTTGCTATGTGATATCCATCAGGCAATGAATATTGGACATTATTTTTTTTTACAGGAGGATCCATCCTCTTCAAGGCACGGTAGCCACTCGGGGTAGCGGGTAACGTTAAATGGTTCAAGGGAGGGATAACGGTTAAAACTTGAGTTGAACAGGTTATAATGGAAGGTGCTCTTGGCAGTCGATTCCACAGAGCATGGGCAAGGAGAAAAGCAACGGAAATGTTGCTCTGCAGAAGGATACTGAGAATTCCATGGACGGCGCGTGTAAGGAAGTCGTAAAGAAAATGGCAACAAAAAGAACACTTACGCTCAGAATCAGAAAAAAAAACACAGCTGAAATTTCCTGGGCAAATAATGAGGAAGGTGGGCTTGGAAAACTTAACCCTCACAGGGCATATTGAGGACAATAGGAATAGAGGAAGGCAGTGAGTCATCGAGCTTGTGTGAATAGATTGATGGAATGAAGGCAGAACTAAAATTAGCAGAACTAGATGAAAATTGCTAATAGCATTAACAACCATAACAAGGCAAAGGAAGTTTGGGAGAGCCGTGATCGGCCAGGCCCTGGAGGGACGAGGCATATAGGAGACGATTTACGTTGGTTTGTTTTACGATATATCAACCTCAATGGGTTATTTAATGCCGACGAAATTTTTATTGTTGGTAATATATTTTTCAAAAATCTATTTCAGGTAATATTTTTTCCTTCAAAAATCTATTTCTGGAAATAATTTTCCTTCAAATATGTATCTCTGGTAATATTTGTTTTTCAAAAAAATTGTATAGCTGGTAAGATTTTTTTTTCTAAAAAATGTATAGCTGGTAAGATTTTTTTTCAGAAATGTATTGCTGGTAATTATTCTTTTAACAAAAAAGTGTTGCTGGTATTAAAACCTATTTTTACACGTTTTGACCCAAATTTTTTTTGGGGGGAGGTTAACTATTTGTCCATAGCTGGGACTCTAACAGGTGCTACCACCCCGGATCAGGGTGGACCTAAGAACATCAACAATTAAGAGGTGGTTCCACGCTCATCAAAACCTCCTGATCAGAGGCCTTGTCGGTCGGACCTAGTTCATCGTCTTACCCAGGACGCGGATGTAGTTTATTGTCAAATCCAGGACAGTATAGAAGATGGGAATGATAATATTGGACGACAATATATATATATATATATATATATATATATATATATATATATATATATATACGCCAGCCAGCTATGTTTTCCATAACAGCTGTCAGCGTGCAATCTGTGGAGTTAACATTCAAGATAGGACATCTAATGTAGACCTGTTTAACAGGTATAATATTGGAGGAATCGAGACTTTTATCATACAGTCTCAGTTACGGTGGACTGGTCATGTCTAGAGAATGTCTGATGACAGGATACCCAAGATCCTAATGTACAGCCAGTTAGATCAGGGCTGCAGGAATGTAGGACGCCCATCGCTAAGATACAATGACAATGTGAAGAGCAATTTGTCCGCTGTCAATATACCACATAACACCCTTAGCGCTTAGGCTTGGAGCGGGTAGAATGGAGATCAACGTGTTTTAGTGAACTCGGCAGTTTTCAATCTGCTTGTCTGAATCATATTCAAGAAGTGAGAGCAAGATCTAAAAGGTCAGCCAATCTAAGAGTGATCTCATCCCACACTCCTTACTGTTGCTCCATATGTGGCCTCATTTGTAAATCACTTACGGGTCTTAAGTGTCACATAAGATTATCGCACAGAATTTCATATTTGAATCAATTAAGCTGTCAGATCCTAATATATATATATATATATATATATATATATATATATATATATATATATATGTATATAAGATATTTCGACTTTGCTGGAAAGAAATGATTTGAAAATTGAACGTTTCAAATATAATGACGTCCAAAGAAAGTCAATATATGTACGATGATTCGTAACGGCACAGTAAAGTGCGGCATTTTACCTCTGATGTCAATGAAGGCAAATCGTGTGTTCTGAAATATAACGTTGTCAACAGCTCCATTATACCAAGATATTGCCCCTATAATCTTTTTGTGATAAGCAGAGTTAGGTAGAAATGGGTCCGTGCAATGAGAAACCACTTCTTACTTTTAAAATTTATACTATCGTTTTATTCACAAATAAAGAAAATATGGCAAACATGGATAAACGTACCCGCAATAAGATGTGGCGTCAAAGGACTGTCTTCTTGACACTGCTATTATTTTACCTACCTTCCATTCTCAGCAATGTTTATTGTCTTAAATAGTGATGGTTAGACTTGGGAATTGTTTTATTGTTTATTATGGCTCTTGATTCCTTAGGGAACATAGTGTAGGAATTAGGAATCCTTCTACTCGGTTTTTCGTTGAATATTAAAATTTGGAGTGTCGGGATTCAATACATTAATAAAATATCGTTACAGGGCCGCTCGTAATTTGACCGTCTAGAATAATCAAACGCTTTTCATTGAAAGAATAAAATTCAGTAGAAAAGACGATGTAGTTTCAACAAATAAACATTGAGTTAATATAACGATAGGAATACAAAAAGTTGGAAAGTAATGTCTTTTGTTTGGGTTGATAAAGTTCTGAAATGAAATATAAACTGTCTTTTTGTGTACGTGAGTGAGAAACAATAAAATGTTGTGATATGTGTGTTTGTATGAAAAAAGTCAACATGTGTGTGTGATTCATAGTAAAAAACGGATACTAGAGATACGAATGGTTTCTTACTTTTGGCGGTGTTGCGTGGTCTGGAGTTTGTCAACGCTGTCGTTTTTGACATGAGGTCATGAAGGTCATCGGCGAAAGGTGTGTAGCTTGCTGGCAGCCGCGTGTATATTGTTTTGGGAACGGATGTCGTATGTTTTTATACACTTTTTCCGAACAATATCGGCTCCAGAATTAAATTATTTATTTATTTCTAATTGGCCTAAGTCACGTGGTTTGTCTTCTACTACGTCCGTACGATATTTGGTCGGTATCTACCTAAAATGATGATGACTAATACAACAAACATTCTGATTTGTAATCTATGATTTTATTGGTGTGTTTTAAGATGTAAGTGTTT